AAATGGTGCACCAAAATCCACATATATCTTTCGTATTGAACTTAGTATAACCTAGAAGTTAGATATAAATGCTGCACCAAACTCCGCATGTGGTTCCGATTAGCACAAAATTTTGCACAACTTATTGAGGTTATTATAAGATAACGTGTGGCAAGTTTTCTTCCGATTTTAAGTAAAAGGTGCACCAAAGACCCAAAATTAGGTCGATTAACACGCATTTTACACAACGTTCTGAAGTTTATATAACCTAGCGTGCGGAAAGTTTTATTGAAATCGGTTCAAATTTGGACACAGCAACCGTTATTTTCACCCGATTTTAAGTAAATGATGCACCTAGAACTCAAAATGTGACCGATATTCTGTGACAAATTTCGATAAAATCGGCTTAGATTTCGATATAGCTTTTATACATATTTTCGTCCGGTTTTATGTAGAAATGCGACGTCTGTTAGGATTCCATCTGTTACCCAAAGTGGTGAAGGGTATCATGTATTCAGCCACGTCCGACTTTACTACTTTCCTTACTGGATTTTAAATATTTTTTGGGGTCTATCTAAAAATATTTTTTGGGATCAATACCAAAAAAAATTTGTTGGGGTTTATTGGATTTTAAAAATATTTTTTTGGTTCTATACCAAGGTTTGTTTTTCTTTAATATTTTTTGTGGTCGTGTATTTTTTTACATATTTTCCAAATTTTTCCTGAACATTTCCGACTTTTCCATTGAATCCCTTCATCATATCTCCCCCTTTTCCATATATATGTATATATATATTTACACACATAAAAATATATATGTATATAAATTTGAATTCTCTGTATATATATATATGGCAGCAACAAAAACAACAACCTCAACAAAATAAAACATGAATAAATTTACTATAAATTACCATTTTACAACGAACGCTCACTCGCTGGCTGGCTGACTGGTTGGTTCACTCAATGCAGCTCACTCAATACAATCAGCCTTGGTTACATTGCCATGCAGCTCTTCGTCTTCATCAAGCCAAGCTGGCAGGCTGGCAGTCAGGCAAACAGCCAGCCAGGAACAGCACCCACAATCAGCATTTCAATTCTTGTGACCATGTGGTTGTTGTTGTTGTTGCAGTTGTCGATATATGTGTGGAGACCCCCTTTTGCCTTCGAAACAATTAATATTCGAATCTATAAAATGGGTACTGGCTGGCAAAGGCAATAACAAACGAACCAACGAACGAATGAATGAATGGGGCCAGCAATCGGCAACAACAACAACAAAAGCACCAACAACTCCATCCATATCCGCATCCAATTGTACAATTCAATATCTGTTACTTGAACATTGTCGTCTCCGCTCTCTGTGATTTCAGTTCAGTCACTTTATGGGCAGAGGCCTTTGGCTGGCATGCATTTCCCATGACCAAAATCACCACCCCTACCCCTTTCCATCATTCTCTGTCGACTGTAACACATACATCCCTACTTTAGTCACCTACAATTGCCGTAGTTTTATGCCCCCTGTTTTTTTGTATGCCGCTCCAGCCATAGGGAACAACAGGAAGCCAACAATTCTGGAAGAGGATGCCATCATGCCATAAAAGGACATGCCAACCAACCAGCCAGCCAGCAAGTATCAACAGCAACAACAAAAAATACCAATAAACCTTACATAAAACTGTCAAAAACATACACATGCAATAATTTACTTTAACAAATTTTTATATGCAGTGTTTGCCAGAGTGTGAGTGTGTGTGTGCTGAATTGTGCATCTGATGATGATGTGTTTTTATTTTTAAAGCCATAAAAGTGGGGAGACAATTTCCTCTTTCATTGGCATTTTATAGAAACAACAAAAATTCATCACCACAATAACAACAACAAAAGTGGATTCGAAGGGTCTAATAGGTATTGCAATTTATGGGGGACAAGGGCCAACACAAGGACCCAGATAAGGCGTGGATTTTTTAAAAATATTTTTAAGGATCCATATAAAATTGTTTTCAAAGTTCTATATAAAAAATGGGTTGAGGCGTCGGGTTAGCTGCCCACTCTCGGAAAACCGAACCTACTATGAAAAGAAAACGAAAACCAAAGCCACCAAATGTTGACGACCCCCGCAAACGTATAAAGGACCACGATCTGCGAATCTGCACTTGGAATGTGCGCACGCTGTACAGGACAGGCGCAGTGTTCGCTTTGGCGGATGTAGTTAAGGAGTAGAAAGCGGATATTATTGCCTTACAGGAAATGCGATGGAAAGGGACTGGTGTAAGTAAATCAGATGATTACGCCCTGTATTAAAGCTGCCATGAACGAGACGTGAATTTGGCTGCGGATTTATGGTTAACAGGAGAATAAAGACCTCGTCTCCAGATTCGCTCCAGTAGATGAGCGAATTGCTATAATCCGAAGCGAAGTTCTTCTACATCAGTCTCATTTGCGCCCATACTCCGACCGAAGATAAAGATAAACAGACCAAAGATATATTTTATGAGCGCTTAGAACATCATATGTATGACCGTTGCCCTGGCCATGACATTAAAATTCTGCTAGGAGATTTTAATGCAAAAATCGGAAGGGAAAATATCAATGAAGAAACATCAGACAACGATATGAGGAGGATTGACTTCGCGGCTGCAAAAACATGGTAGCACCAGATTCAAGCATCTCGATATACACAAGGCCACTTGGATTTCTCCCGATCGAACAACGAGAAATCAAATCGATCATGTTGTGATAGGCGGAAGGCATTCATCCAGTGTTTTAGACGTCCGATCGTTACGAGGAGCGAATATCGAAGGCATTACCTTGTGGCAGCCAAGGTAACCGTCTTAATGTAGCAGCAAAGGTGCGATCTAATGTAACACGGAAATTTGACGTTGAAAAGCTGCAAACACAACAGATAGCAGAAGCCTACTCCGCTCAACTTACCCAACTGCTTGACGAAAGCACCCTTGTCCCGATAATAATATAGAAGCACAGTGGTAGAAAATTGTCTCCCTACAAACTGCAGCAAAAGCAACACTTGGGTACCAAAGACCACCATCAAGAAATCCGTGGTACGATCAGGAGTGTCGCAATGCTACTAATATGAAAATCGCAGCGTATAAGGCAACCCTGCGGACACTAGCAACACGTAATGCGATGGAGAATTATCGTGAGAAAAGGAGAGAGGAGAAATGTGTTTCCAGTAAAAAGAAGAAAGAACAAGAAAAACGTGAGCGTGAGTAAATCGAGATGTACAGGAGTCAGAATGAAGTCCGAAAATCCTAAACCTGGTGACAGATACAGACAGCGTGCTGAGGATCTGGAAGGAGCATTTTGAAAAACTTCTGGTATCAAATAGTAGCGGTGAAGAGGATGCCCCAGAACCAATAATAGGGTACGGTATAGAGTGTATGCCACCTAGCCAAGATGAGGTCAGAATATCAATCAATCGGCTGAAGAATAATAAAGCAACAGGTGCCGATGGTTCCTCAGCATCCTGTGTCCCGTGCACAAAAATAGGAGACAAGACGATATGTGTCAACTATAGAGGAATAAGTCTCCTTCCCATCGCATATAAAGTGCTATCCAGCGTACTGTGTGAACGACTGAAGCCAATGGTCAATGACATTATTGGACCATACCAATGTGGCTTCAAACCTGGCAAATCTACCATTGACCAGATTTTCACTCTGCGTCAAATCTTGGAAAAAAACCCACGAAAAACACATCGACACCTTCCACATATTCGTCGGCTATTAAGCCGCATTCGACAGCCCTATCCATTTAGAGGTGTTTAAAGCCATGTCTGCGTTTGGTATTCCTGCAAAATTAATATGGCTATGTAGGATAACTTTAACTGGCACAAGATCAGCAGTTAAAATCGGAAAGGACCTCTCGGAGCATTTTAATACCGAACGAGGATTCAGACAAGGTGACAGTTTGTCGTGTGACCTTTTAAACATCCTGCTGGAAAAGGTCATACGAGAGGCAAAAGTGAACAGAAATGGCACTCTGTACACCAAACAACACATGTTACTCGTCTACGCCGATGACATCGACATAATGGGTCGAACACTGAGAGCGGTAACAGCCACCTTTGAACAAATGGGGAGAAGGAGTCTGCCAAAGTGGGTCGGGCAGTAAACGGCGAGAAGACCAAGCTGATGGTATCAACGCGCAAGACGACTGGTAGACTCGGACCAACTGTGGAACTTGATAACTACAGCTTCGAGGTAGTCAAAGATTTTATATACATTGGTACCGCCATAAACAAAACGAATGACATCAGTTTTAAAATTCGGAGAAGGATAGCAAACAACTCAAAAGCAAGGCCACCTCCCGCCAGACCATACTCACACTCTACAAGACGCTGATACTACCCATGCTGTTATATGGATCTGAAGCATGGGTAATGGCGCAAGCAGATGAGGCAGCTCTTGGAGTGTTTGAGAGAAAAATTCTCCGAAGGATCTATGGACCGATCTGCGTCGACGGTGAATATCGCCGTCGAATGAACCATGAGTTGTACCAGCTATTTTCGGACATCGATATTGTTATACGTATTGAGCTACAGCGACTTCGTTGACTAGGTCATGTTGTGAGAATGGATGAAGATGTCCCAGCCCAGAAGGCATATAAAAGCGAATCAGCTGATGGTTCACGCAGAAGGGGAAGACCACATATAAGATGGAAAGACCAATTGGAAGAAAACATTGCGGAATATGGTCTTTCAAATTGGAAAAACTGCGCAAAAGGCTGACGCGCCTGGAAATTTTTTTTAAGCTCGGCTTATGGAACGAAAGTTCTGTCACAAGCCAGCTAAGGTGCGGATTTTTATAAAAATAAATTTTCAAAGGTCTAAATAGGGCATGGATTTTTTAAAAATATTTTTTTTCAAATATTTTTTTTAAATAATTTTTTTAGAATTTTTAAATTGCATGTTTTCTTAAATATTTTTCAATATTTTATTGAAGATCGTTAGACTTATCACAGCTATTAAGAGTATCGAAAATGTATGCTGATGACATTGCCTTGTATTGTTGCAGGGCATTCCTCCCAACTCGGACTCGCAGACACACACTTCCACCTCAGAACCGGATATGAATTTTTGCCGATAACAACCGGTTGTGGTATTGACTTTGGCACACATATATGTTATGTTTTGAACTGAAAAAAAGGAGGAGAGATAAAAAAATAAATATTTTTTTAGAGATTATTTTTGTTAAATAAAATTTTTATGGCCTTAGACAAGGTTTAGATTTTTTAAAATATCTTTTTAGCGCCTTAGACAAGGCGTAGATTTTTTAAAAACATTTTTCAAGGCCTAAGTCAAGGCGTAGATTTTTTAAAAACATTTTTCAAGGCCTAAGTCAAGGCGTAGATTTTTTAAAAACATTTTTCAAGGCCTAAGTCAAGGCGTAGATTTTTTAAAAACATTTTTCAAGGCCTAAGTCAAGGCGTAGATTTTTTAAAAACATTTTCAAGGCCTAAGTCAAGGCGTAGATTTTTTAAAAACATTTTTCAAGGCGTAGATTTTTTAAAAACAAATTTTCAAGGCCTAAGTCAAGGCGTAGATTTTTTAAAAACAAATTTTCAAGGCCTAAGTCAAGGCGTAGATTTTTTAAAAACATTTTTCAAGGCCTAAGTCAAGGCGTAGATTTTTTAAAAACATTTTTCAAGGCCTAAGTCAAGGCGTAGATTTTTTAAAAACATTTTTCAAGGCCTAAGTCAAGGCGTAGATTTTTTAAAAATAAATTTTCAAGGCCTAAGTCAAGGCGTAGATTTTTTAAAAATAAATTTTCAAGGCCTAAGTCATGGCGTAGATTTTTTATAAATAAATTTTCAAGGCCTAAGTCAAGGCGTAGTTTTTTTAAAAATAAATTTTCAAGGCCTAAGTCAAGGCGTAGATTTTTTAAAAATAAATTTTCAAGGCCTAAGTCAAGGCGTAGATTTTTTAAAAACATTTTTCAAGGCCTAAGTCAAGGCGTAGATTTTTTAAAAACATTTTTCAAGGCCTAAGTCAAGGCGTAGATTTTTTAAAAACATTTTTCAAGGCCTTAGTCAAGGCGTAGATTTTTTAAAAACATTTTTCAAGGCCTAAGTCAAGGCGTAGATTTTTTAAAAACATTTTTCAAGGCCTAAGTCAAGGCGTAGATTTTTTAAAAATAAATTTTCAAGGCCTAAGTCAAGGCGTAGATTTTTTAAAAATAAATTTTCAAGGCCGAAGACAAAGCTCGTTTTTTCCTTACCAGCCTTATTGTGGAAATATGTATATTTAACACACAACTGTCCCGGTATCATGGCACAGGCTATGGCATCGGGATTATGTTTATATTTTGCCCACAAATCCACAGTATCGGGAATGTTGTCATTGTGGGTGGCCACAATGGGTCTACGGCAGGGTATATTTTCATTATTTATGCGCTCCTCACACGTTTCATTGCCGATATAATCTTTGGCCGGATAGGGGCCAATCCAGAAGAAACGAAAGCAATAGGGGACTGGAAATAAATGCCATAACAACAACAACAAATCACAACAATCAAAAAAATATTGAAAAAAAAATCAAAAAAAAATACCCACAATTTGAAGAAGAATTTACAATTCCAACAAATGCCACAATTTCCACTACTGTCAAGATCTTCAGCATTTCTTATATAGCGAACAAATAAAAAAATTACAACAATAATAAAAAAATAACAATAAATTGTTCTAATTAATATTTAATGTTATTGTTTCAATATTTATTATCGAACTAACTGACACAATTATTGTTTCCAATCGCAGTGCCATCGAACATCTGGGTATCTCCCTTTCTCTTGGTTATCTTATCACATTTTCGATATTGATGAACAATCACCTGGTCTCCGCCGCTTCCACTCTCGTTTTTTTGATATCTTAAAAAGATAACTAAATAGTTTTGAAGTTTTTTTTTTCGTTGGAACTGCATTCATTGCCTACCGAGAGGAATTTATTGTTGTTATCTCCGATATTTACCGTGTAGGAAGGTCAGAGAATGACCTGATGGATTGGGGGCGTACTTGATGCAGCTAAGCGATAGCAGTAGTTGATAAAAAAAATACAAATTTTGTTTCATATTATTTAAAAAAAATATTTTTTCAAGTACCTACCAAAGTGTGGATTTTTTACAAATATTTTTTTTTCAAGGAACTTCCAAAGGGGGGATTTTTAAAATTATTTTTTTTTTCAAGTAGCTACCAAAGGCGAGGACTTTTTAAAATATATTTTTTCATGGTTTTTATACCCTTCACACACTGTGGTAAAGGACATTATGTCTTTGTGAATATGTTTGTAACAGGCAAAGGGAAACGAGATAGACACATAATTCCTTATGATAATATGCCTAGAATCACTTTCCGAGTCGATTTATGCATGTCCGTCCATCCGTCTGTAAATGTTAAATTGTAAACAAAGTACTGGTCGCATTTCTGATCCGACTTGGATGAAATTTGGCATAAGTCACTTATTTGGCACAAGGACGAACCCGATTGAAATTGAAAAAAATCGAGTCAGATTTGGATATAGCTCCCCTATATATTTTCGTCCGTTTTAAGGTAAATGGCGCACCAAAGTCCCTATATATCTTTCGATCTGCACGAAATTTGGCACAGCGTACTAAATTGGGCCTAGAATGATATATGCCGAGTTTTGTGAAAATCGGCTCAGATGTAGATATAGCTCCCATATATATTGTCGTCCGATTTATGGTAAATGGGGCAACAAAGTCTCTAAATACCTTTAGATTTGAACGAAATTTGGCATACAATACTAAATTAGGTCCAGAATGGTGTGTGCCAAGTTTCCAGAAAATCAGTTCAGATTTATATATAGCTCCCATATATCGTTTCGTCCGATTTTATGTAAATGGTTCACCAAAGTCCTTATATATCTTTCGATTTGCACGAAATTTGGCACAGGGTACTGAATTAGGTCCAGAATGATGTGTGCTAAGTTTTGTAAAAATCGGTTCAGATTTATATATAGCTCCCGTATATTATTTCGTCCGATTTTATGAAAAGGGTGCACCAAAGTCCCTATATAACTTTCGATTTACACAAAAATTGGCAGAGGGCACTGAATTAGGTCCAGAATTACGTGTGTTAAGTTTCGATAAAATCGGTTCAGATTTAGATATAGCTCCCATATATAGTTTCGTCCGATTTTATGTAAATGGTTCACCAAAGTCCCTATATATCTTTCGATTTGCATGAAATTTTGCACAGTGTAATGAATTAGGTCTAGAATGGTGTGTGTTAAGTTTCCTGAAAATCAGTTATGATTTAGATATATCTCCTATATATATATATATATATATATATTCGTCCGATTTAAAGTAAATGGTGCACCAAAGTCCCTATATATCTTTCGATTTGCACGAAATTTTGCATAGGGTACTAAATTTAGTCTTCAATGGTGTGTGTCAAGTTTCGAAAAAATCTGTCAGAAAAAGATATAGCTCCCATATATATTTTCGTCCGATTTAATGTAAATGGGGCATATATATCTATATATATCTTTCGATTGACACGAAATTTTGTATAGGGTACTGAATTATGTCCAGAATGATGTGTGCTAAGTTTCGTGAAAATCGATTCAGATTTAGATATATGGTGCCGCTTTCGATTTGCACAAAATTTTGCATAGGGTACTGAGTTAGTTCCACAATGGTGTGGGGCAAGTTTCGTGAAAATCGATTTGACACACAGATTTCAAGATATAGCTCCCTGTATATATTTTCGATATATCCGACTTTAATGCATCACTTACATAAAATCGGACGAAAATATATATGGGAGCTATATCTTTATCTGACCCGATTTTCACGAAACTTAGCACACATCATTCTGGACCTAATTCTGTGCCTTATGTCAAATTTCGTGAAAATCGATAGATATATAGGGACTTTCGTGCACCATTTACCTTAAATCGAATGAAAATATATATATGGGAGCTATATCTTTATCTGAACCGATTTGACACACACCATTCAAGACTCAATTTAGTACCCTGTGCAAAATTTCGGGCAAATCGAAAGATATATAGGGACTTATATATATATATATATATAAATCGGACGAATATATATATGGGAGCTATATCTTTATCTGACCCGATTTTCACGAAACTTAGCACACATCATTCTGGACCTAATTCTGTGCCCTATGCCAAATTTCTTGTAAATCGAAAAACTTATAGAGATTTTAGTGCCCCATTTACCTTAAATCGGACGAAATTATATACGGGAGCTATGTACTAATCTGAACGAAATTTTTATAGGGTACTGAATTATGTCACACATGTGTGAAGACTGAAAATTTAATATATATGCAAAATTTCGATTTGCAAATTTTGAAAGATATATAGGGACTTCCACAATGGTGTGGGGCAAGTTTACATTAAATCGGACGACACTATATACGGGAGCTATATCTAAATCTGAATCGATTTTCACGAAACTTTTCACACATTATTCTGGAAGTAATTCAGTCCTCATTTGCCAAATTTTGCATAGTGTACTGAATTGAGTCTTGAATGACGTGTGTTAAGTTTCGAGAAAATTGGTTCAGGTTTAGATTACTGGTTAAAAAAATTTGGGTCCCATCAAAGGCGTGGATTTTTTTAAAAATATTTTTTGGGTCCCATCAAAGGCGTGGATTTTTTTAAAAATATTTTTTGGGTCCCAACAAAGGCGTGGATTTTTTAAAAATATTTTTTGGGTCCCAACAAAGGCGTGGATTTTTTAAAAAATTTTTTTGTGTCCCAACAAAGGCGTGGATTTTTTAAAAATATTTTTTGGGTCCCAACAAAGGCGTGGATTTTTTAAAAAAAATTTTTGTGTCCCAACAAAGGCGTGGATTTTTTAAAAATAATTTTAATTGGGTATCAACAAAGGCGTGGATTTTTTAAAAATAATTTTAGTTGGATATCAATATGACTGCCATTCTTAAAGAATATCTCCATCTTCCTCTTTGTCCCCCTTCAAATTAGGTCATATATACTATGTGTACATTATGAAAACTGTCAATATATATTATGGATTCATTAAACCGGATATATTAATAGTTATAACTAAAACAAAGGACGTCCATCACCCCCTCCCTCCTTTCATACACCAAAAATCCTTAACAATTCTCCATAATATTACCACATAAAATTGTTCAATTTATACATACCCATATATGCTTTGCAAAATGTCTATGCCATATGCATGTATGTGTGCTTGTATGCATATGTGTTTCCTCAACTAGATATGTGTATGTATAAGTGTATAGAAATACATTAACAATCGTTGCACAATATATTGTACAATGGAAAAGGACTAGCTAACCAAAAATATACTCATACTCATACCCATACTCACACACACACCAACACATATTAACTAATACAAACACATACACTAATGTGTGTATTTGAACACACACACACACATGCATAAACAACTTAATTTCGAAGTAGATGTGTTGAGTTAATCACAAAAACTTTTCTTTTGTTCGTTTTCTGATTTTAGGGGGGGGTTGGGGTTCGTTTGGCCATTCACAATTTGTGGTTGGTTTGCATTATGGGCATTAGGGTGGGTGCGAAGATTATATTATTTGTTCCTAAGATTATTATGAATTAAATGAAATAATTTTCCAAGTATTTCATACTTTAAATGTTTTTGGAAAATAATTTCAATTTGCAGTCCACCCTAATATTCCTTGGACTCATTGTAATTTCCTATGTAGGATTGTGGCAAGTCCTGTTTTTTGTTATATTTTATGTGGACATTTACATTTGTATTTCATTTGTGAAAATGTGTTGAAATTTTCTTCTATTGTTAATGTGAAAATGTCCAAATCTTTATGGTTGCAATTGAGGTGAGAGGAAAAGGGGCGGGGGAATTAAAGAGAAGGTACTTTTGCAGAGAAGAATGCTTCAAGCAATACACTGAGCCACGGACAGTTTTCAAGAGCCACGGACAGTCGTGGATTTTTTTAAAATATGTTTTTAGGGCCATCCACAGGCATGAATTTTTAAGAAATTTTTCCAAAATATTTTTTCCAAGGGATTTTTTTGTGGATGTTTTAAAAATATTCTTTTAGGCTCATCCACAGCCGTGAATTTTTAAGAAATTTTCCACGCCTCAAGGGCATATCAGATTTTTTTAAATTTTTTCAAAATCCTATTACAGGCGTGGATTTTTTAAAAATATTTTTCCAGGGCCTATCAGAGGCGGAGAAGAAAGAACAAGAAATACGTGAGCGTGAGCCAATCGAGATGTACAGGAGTCAGAATGAAGTCCGAAAATTCTACCAACGGGTAAAACACTAAACCTTTGGTGCAGACACATCCTCCTGTAGAGATGAAGAAGGAAACCTGGTGACAGATACAAACAGCGTGCTGAGGATCTGGAAGGAGCATTTTGGACAACTTCTGGTATCAAATAATAGCGGTGAAGAGGATACCCCAGAACCAATAATAGATGACGGTATAGAGT